CCAAGACAAGGTAGTCAACAGTACCAAAGCTGTTAGAGTGATCAAAAGGGTTCACATGGAGCACTGCAGGAGATAAGTTTATAGGGAAGATGAAGTCAGTTTTAGCCTCAGGTTACTTAACTCTCAATGACAGCTTTGCAGTATTCAGAAAGGCTCTAAGGAAAAGCCTGATTTATAGTCAACCAGCTCTAGAACCGGTTCTGAGCTTAGAAAAACCAGGTGGCCCAAACCAATACAGGTTCTGAGCTTAGAAAAACCAGGTGGCCCAAACCAATATATTTCTACTGATAGAACCTTAAAGAAAAGAATAGGAAATCACTAGCTATTAATGCTGTCCAAGTGTCCAGTGTCCAAGAAGGAAAATGGCTAACTGAATTGTTGCAGGATATAGTTGGGGAAGAGGGGACTAAAAATCATACATATCATGTCTTAAGTTATTTAATCAAAATAGCTTTAGACTCAGAACTGTAACAGGGAATTTCAATCTACTTTTTCCTCTGCTCTGCTCTAACTCTCGGGCCACAGGTCATTCAGACTATAAAAAGCTCCTACAAATTCCATAGAAACCTGATCAAGCTTACTTAACCTTTTACTAGGTAAATGGAATTTCAGCTCCTGTAATTGTGCATAGCACTTGAACACGATGGCAGGGTGATGGATCGGGGCAACTGTCAGGATTGCTCTCCCATATGCCTCAGTTGTACTTCTCTCGTGATTTATTTAAACAAAGGCTACCATGAGAGAAACTGTATATTCTTTATAAACTCAACTCGACAAGGAGCCTAAATAAAATTTTCAATAAATCTTTTCTTTTCCCCTTTCATTGCAGGATAGAGAAACACTTTCTGTAATAAAGAAGCTCACTCTCCCTTCTTCACGAATTATCCATTTCTTCAATTAACTGGACAAGACATCAAATATACAACTGCAACTTCAGCTCTGACCAACCTCCCAAAACACCTCTATTTTCAATCTTTCCCAGGCCCAAGGAGAAGAGAATTCACAAATTATGCTAATACAAAATACGGGCTACTTTCTCAGAAAACTCATAAATGTTCAAATATATGGTAAGACCATTACACAAGCTCAACAAATAAAAAGAAACTGCCTGTTAGTGAAATAACAAAAACATCCACAAAAAATATACAAATTAACTAAGATTTAAAAAGTTCAATCTGAGCTTTGGAACAGAGAAATGAAACTTCAACTGAAAAGCAAGAGAGTCTAGGCTTTGGAGTCAAACAGATTAGAGTTCTGTTAGCTCCATCACATTACTAAATGTGTAACCTTAAGACAAATTCCTTAATTCTTCAATTCTGTTTCCTCAATAAAACAAAGAGAATACTACCTATCTCCAAGAGTTCTTACAAGGATTAAGTAAAATAGTGTATGCAAGGCTCTAATACAGTGCCTGGTATGTAGCCGGAATACACAACAGTGTGCTTCTCCTTCTAATTTTCAAAAGGCTTAATGAGAGACTCATTCATAAAGAAAGTAGGACTTAAAGAACAGGAAAAAAATTGTTAGCTGGACAGAAAGAAAGAGCATATTCTTCGGTCCTTCAGATTTATTTATAACTTTAAAAATATGGATACATTTTTTTAAAAGTAAGGACAAATTTATCAGATTGTCAGTAAATTATTAATGTGAAAATGCATCATTGATTTTGGAACACTTTTTTATATATAAGATACTCTTCTTCCTTATAATTTTACAACTTTTTGAGGTTCTACATTTGTGCTTTTTTTTTTTTTCCTGTCTTATTCCTAGAATCCTGACTCAGACCCTCCTTACTTTGGTTTTGGAGCGACCTAAACCTTTGGCCAGATAGGAGTACCTTAGAGTTCACTAAGTATTCTCAAAGATTTCTGGGCAAAGACCAGAATCCAGCATCTAAAAATTTAGAAAGAATCAGTGTGGTATAATAAAAAGGACATGGGCTTTGGAAATAGGTAAAGGTTTAAAACAGATTTGAGTCCTACCTCTGCAACTTGCTAGATATATAACCTTGGGCAAGGCACTTTATCTCTCAGGACCTCATTTCTTTATCTGTAAAATGGAGATAATGCCACCTATATCTCAATGTGTTGTTGTCAAGATTAGAAAAATGCGTATAATAATTCCTGGAATAGAAAAGGCCAATGAATGGTAAATCATATTCAGATCAATCTGCCAACTGTCTTACTGAACATTTTGTAAGACTGTTTTTTCCTAACTGGCAAAAGGAGTCATACTGTTCCCACATTCCCATTCCTATAACCAAAAGGTTCCATTTTAGTAATCTATAATGAACCAAATCAAGAGCTTAAAGAATTCAGGGCAAGAAAGAACTAACATGGCTCAACTCATTCTCTGCTGACAGAAACAAATCCAGTACAAAGTGGATACGTTTGCCAAAAAAAAAAAAAAGACTGCTTGAACATGGTCATTACCAATACTGATGTAAGCACAAACGAGCTGCAGTTCTTAGGCTTGCAGCCTTACTGTCAGAAAGTTTTTTAACTTTTCTGAAATATATCCTCTCCTGCCTTGTCTTCCCTGCTGTGCTATGACACTCTTATTATCCTATTTTTAAGAACACAGGAAAGAAATCCTCTCAACTATTACTACTGCATTCACTTGGAATTTATCTGCCTATTTCACAAATCACTTCTTACAGAGATTTTTGGTTGGGTTCACTTGATATGAGCTTATGAAGAAAGACATTAATACAAATTTATGATAGCATGATGACAAGATCTGGTCCCCACAGCGCCACAAGTTACACGATGGAGGTAGGAGCCAAACATAAGATGTGACTAAGTAACCTGCACACCATATGTTCACCCTTGTTAACTACTGCACTTGGGAATTCTGGCTCTTATAAAAAGTTTATTTCCCTTGTGTGGCTAAGCAGAGTACCAGACCTAAGAAAACTGATGACAAATACATGAATAGTGTAAGGGAAACATCAACAAAAATGTGACTTAAGATAAATAAGCTTGTATGTGACCGTTACAAAATAAAAGCAGTAGTCACCAATTACACATACAAAGGCAGCTATTTCAAGCCCTAGTACTCCCAGTCCCTTCCCTACAGTAAAAGCAGAAGGGTGTCGAGGTCATTATGATTATTTAAATAAACAATCTAAGAATCAAGAAAGACTGAACAAATCAAAATGTCACACTGCAGTCCCTTAGTGAGGCGACTTTCAACTTGGGAAAAGAAGGGCAGTCTCCTGCACTTATTTTAATTTAGTCAATTCAATATCAAGAAAGTTAAAGATTCTATCGCCAAAATGGAGCTCAGCAATGCCTTTAGTTGTGTCATACAGCTGTATCCTTGCCCCAGAGCTTCAACTGCTTAAGTTCCAGCAAAAGTTGTTTTCTGGTTGCAATTAACATTGTAAGGCAAGCTCAGCCCTGTCTTCCATAGCCTTGAGGCTGCTGAGTAAATCTAGAATCATGGAACCTACATTTTGATGCTGGAAAAACAGGAAGAAAGTGGTTCTGGACAAGGAAAATGGGCACGAAGCACATCTAGATTTAAGAAAAACAAACTGATATGCTAGCCCGGGATTTTTTAACTTCTTTATATAGAATCTATTGAATGGGGCGTACCTTTCAGGGGAGGTCACAGGGACATGCACTTAAACCATGATGGGAGGACGAATAAAATAAAATCATCCTTAATAATAATAGCTATCACCTCTTAAGCCCCTAGTATATGTGCCAAGTTCAACGCTAAAGCCCTTTACAAATATTTCTAATCCTCAATCATATTAATACCCTCATTTTATACAAGCGGAAACTAAGATTCAGAGAATTCAGATGGTTATTTTGTAACTTTCACACTAGTTAGTGAGGATACTATACTAGTATTGAAACCCAGATCTGCCTGACTTTGTAAATTCCATGCCCTAAAAGTAATTTGTTAAACACTATTACCCTCAAGAGATCTAATCAAGTTACAGATTTTACACGGAAAGATCCCTAATCACAGAAAAAAGATTTGGCCAAAGTTATAAAGCAACTCAACCAGTCAGAAATGTTTCAGATTTCAGGACACATACCCAGATACTACCAGCCCCAGGATCTGTGCTGCCTCCTATAATTCCTTTCAGAGGAGTTTCATACTGCAAATGAGACAGACACTGTCCTAAAGCATAATTAAACAAATTCCCTCAGTCTTGCATCTGACGTCATCTATCACCTATACTTAGGGAATTAGAATGAAACAGTTATCTGCTTTATACCTTAATCATGAAACTATTACAACAAAAGTTAGGCTGGATCCAGAGTTCCAATTCAGCCAGGCGTTACACAGTGAAACCACTGCAGACTTCTCATCACTTTACTGCTGTTCTGACAAAGCAATTAAAAATCACTCACAACAATTAAAAAATAAATAAATCACTGTGTTCATATAATGCCTTAGAAATTAGAGCCATAAATCCCTTTTTTATGATCCATACCTCTGTCTTTTCCAACATTTGCCCCTTTATCCCTGGGCTGATTTCGCTTTATGAGAGGAGAGACACACCACCACGGATGGCCACTGTAAGGGTAATACTGGAGTATCACACATCTAGGCTCACTTCTTGGTGTGCTGAGACTACTGGCTCTTCAAAACTATGTCTGAAAGAAGCTGACGAATGAGACAGACAGCCTCACAATGACTGCCTTTCCCCAAAGTAGAAGCATTCTTCCTAACACTTCCAGATCGTAATAGAGGAACCAATGAAACAATCATTCTCTTCACACACAGTCGAATAACCCTGGTGGCCGACTACTAAGCAGAGGGGACGAATATCCGAAGGGAAAAGAGTGAAGAGACTCTCTCCATTACCCTTCTACATTCAGAGAAGATGCAAGGATACTGCAGTATCTGGAATGAAGGGCACAGCATCAGTACCGCTCTATGGAAGCGGCTGGCCACAGAAAGGCAGAAAGTCATCATCTGTACAGAAACCAGACGACTGAGGATTTCAATGCGAGGTTAACTACTGCTTACTCGTTCTCCAAATAGAAAAGACGTTTCCACCCTTATTGCTGGGTGAACTCTCAGAAGCCGTAAGGTCTTCCTATACCATCGGGGTCTTCTCCCTGAATGGTCTGGAATATAACACATGGGAGTGTGCTGGATGCGGGGGCGAAGGGTAGTATTAGGTGCCTCTCCTCCCCTGCCTATTCCAAGTAGTAGCGGAGAGCGCTACCTCCATGTTATTCATAGCGAAGTACGGCCGTGCCACCTGGAGTCTTCGCTCCCCAGCACTGGGCGCAGGTGGAGGCATCTCTGAGAGAGTGGATTTGAGGGGGAGAGGGCTCTCCCGGCTAGTACGATCGGAAGAGAGGGCGTGGAGGGTGGTGCTGCCCTGCCGCGAGGATCTGCGGTTCCCCCTCCCTCCTCCCTCTCTCCGCGAGAGGCAGCCCGGCCCCAATACCTTCTTGACTGTGCGCGGCGCCTCGGTGACGGTGCCGTCGGGGCTAACCAGGGCCTCGCCGCCGTCGCGGTGCCGCTGGTGCTGGTGATGAGGGTCGCTCCGCTTCATGGCCGACGCCTGAGGCACTTTCCCGGCGGCAGGGCTGAGAGCGGCGGCGGGCCCCGAGCCCGGGCCAGGGGCCGGGGGCCGCTCCGCGGGGGGAGCTGGAGCCTCAGGGTCCCCGCCGCCTGCTGGGGGGGCCATGGCGCTCACAGCCGCGGTGCTCAGTCCCAGTTGCGGCTCCGCCTCGGAGGGGCTCAGGTCCTTCAGCTCCACCTCAGGCACCTTCGCGGCAGCCGCTGCTGACACAACCTGCACCGACATCACCGCCTCCACTGCAACCGCCGGCTCAGACTCCAGCTCCGGCTCCAGCTCGGCCCCGCCTCCCGCCTCCCGCCGGGGCCCCGCAGACCCGCCGAGGGGCGTGTGGGGTCGCTGCGTTCTCCGCCGGGCGCGCGCGGCGGCGGGCCTGAGGGGGTCGGTGCGTGTGTTAGAGCAGAGTCGATCTGATTTTCTGCGCTGTTGTAGGAAATAAGCGACTCTACTAAGTTGTCCCGGTGCTATCACTTGGCAGAAAGAGAGAATGAGAGACAGAGAGAGAGAGAGGCAGAGGGAGAAGCAGGCTCCCAAGGAGCAGGGAGCGCGATGCGGGACTCGATCCCAGGACCCTGGGATCATGACCTGAGCCGAAGGCAGACGCTCAACCATCTGAGCCACCCAGGCGCCCTCAAATAAATCTTAATAAAAAAAAATTCAGGTTAAACGATTTCTTTGGGTTTTCATTTTCTTACGAAGGCTCTCATCTCATGTAAAACTTTTATTAAATAACTCTGCTTTTCTCTTGTTAATCTGTCTTTGTCAGTCGAATGTATAGGGCCCTAGCCAGAAAGCCAAGGAGGGGGTAGTAGAAAAAATATTTTTTTCTTCCCCTATAGTTTTAGTGACCATGAAGGAACAGCTGCGACATCTCACAATCCTTGAAGACTATAGCTAAAAATCCTGGGGCAACTGACAAAGGCCAGCAAAAGGTAAGAATTCTTACAAAAGTCAGTCTCCTGGATTTTTGTCTCTTGTCTGGTCAAGAAAGGAAGGTGAACTTCTCCTTATGCCTTCTTTTCCAAATTCAGATTAGCAGGAACAAAAACATTTGTAAGAATTAGTTTTTTGGACTGTGACTGTCATGAATATGGTTTTGGATACCATTGGTTATTGATCCTTAGCCTCCCAGAAAAAGTCACTGTTTTCCTGTCTCTTTGTCTTTCATGTCCTTTGTCTTAAGGAGTTCTTTATACCACCTGTAAAGATAACAAAAAGTCTTAACTTGCTTAGGCTATCTTTGGGAGTAACTCTGGCTCTTAAAGGGGTCTGCATCTTTTGCATCCTCTTTGGGAATGCCCCTTGCATCCATAGGTAAGCCATAAAAAGGTTTGCTGGTTTGGAGTCACACTGAAATAGGTATGCCTTTGAAGAGTTTGACTTTTATATCTAAAAGGATTTTTAGGGGCGCCTGGCTGGCTCAGTCAGTAGAACATGCGACTCAGAGTCATAAGTTCAAGCCTATTAAAAAGAAAAAAATTTAAAAAAGAAAAAAGAAAAAAAAAAGGATTTTTAGAGGGCACTCATCCTAAACAAATGTCCTATTGGTACCTACAGATAGATCAGATTGGAAAAGAAAAAGGAAAGAAAAAGGGTAAATACAGTAGAATGCCTTGGCTGTCTGAGGAAAAGAAACAAACACACACGCACAAAAAAACCTCCCTTAAGATTAGGAGGTTGAGGGCGCCTGGGTGGCTCAGTCGTTAAGCATCTGCCTTCAGCTCAGGTCATGATCCCAGGGTTCTGGGATCGAGCCCGCATCAGGCTCCCTGCTCCGCAGGAAGCCTCCTTCTCCCTCTCTCACTCCCCCTGCTTGTGTTCCCTCTCTCGCTGTCTCTCTGTCAAATAAATAAAAAATCTTAAAAAAAGAAAAAAGATTAGGAGGTTGAGGGGCGCCTGGATGGCTCAGTCAGTTAAGCAGGGTAAGCATCTGACTCTTGGTTTTGGCTCAGGTCATGATCTCAGGGTCATGAGATAGAGCCCTACCTCGGGCTCCTGTGCTCAAATGTATTAACAGTCATTGAATTGTCATTTACAATGGGTATATTTTATCCTATGTAAATTTTACCCCAGTAAAGCTGTTAAAAATTTAAAAATATATTCAGAGGAACCTACACAAGCAAATATTGAGTTATTATAGAGTTCTAGAAATTAAAAAAAAAAAAGTGTGGTATTGGTAAAGAAATCAACAAAGAGAGCAATAAAACATAATACAGAACCCAGAAACAGAATGGATGATACAGAGGATGTGACAAAAAGTGGTATTACATATGAGGACAGGGAAAAGTTTCTAAAATAACGATCAAAACGGACAAACTACATGGAGGAAAAAATAGATCAATTTTACATTACATATTTTAACTTCTGTATAAAAGTCATTATAAGTAAAAAAGACAAGCCATAGACCAGAGGATATTTGCAACACAAATATCTGATAAAGGATTAGAACAAACATAAAGAACTCTTAAAAATCAATAGGAAAACCAATGAGATCCCAATAGAAAAATGGGAAAAGACATGAATATAGACATTTTATTTTTTTTTAAGATTTTATTTATTTATTTGAGAGACAGTAAGAGAGAGCACGAGTGGGGGTGGGGGTGGGCGAGGGGAGGGAGAAGCAGGTTCCCTGGAGCCTGGCCCACGGGGACACGGGGTTCTATCCCAGGACCCCAGGATCATGACATGAGCCAAAGGCAGACACTTAACCGACTGAGCCACCCAGGCACCCCCTTAGACATTTTACAAATAAGGAAATCCAAAAGGAACTACAAACATATTAAAAGATGCTCAGTCTCATTAATATCCAAGGAAATGCAAATTAAAACAGAGATACCATTTCACAACTACCAGACTGACAAAATTTAATATCTGATAATACCACACATTATTAAGGATTCAGAAAACAAGTGTTAATAAAACCACTTTAGAAAGCAATTTGGGAGTATCTGGTAAAGTTGGTATACCTTAAGCAATTTTGCTTACGGGATATACACTAGAGAAACTATCATATACGTGATAAGGAAACATGATTTAAAGATGTTCACTCCAGTTCAAAAAAACAAGAGGAAACATTAATAGGGAATGGGTAAACTGTGGTAGAGTCACACAATGAAGCACTACACAGTAGGTTAACACGACTCAACTAGAAAATCTACATGTATCAGACTAGTTAAAACTCAAAATAAAGTTGAGTGAAAAAAGTAGGTTGCAGAATAGTATCCGCTCTACAGTACCATTTATGTTAAGTTTACAAACACACAAACAATGCTACATGTTGTTTATCAATATACAATTGATACTGATAATATATTGCAAAGGTGTTAAAACATGAAGGGGAACAATAAACTGCAAAGTTTGGACAGCAGTTACCTCTGTGATAGAGGGAGAGAAAAGAAGAAAGGGAATAAACAGAGAAGGGGTACAAAAGGCTCTTCAATTTTGTCTACAATGTTTTATATCTTTAAAAGTATCTCCAGAAAATTTTGCAAAATGCCAACATTTGTTAAATTGGGCAGCGTGTACAATTTTCTCCATACTCTTCCATATGCTTAAAAAAAATTTTAACAGGCTTTTGGTCAAATGCAAACATATACATGTACCAGACACCAAGAGAAAAATACTTAACTTTTTGTAACCTACATTTGTAAAACTCTTCTAGCAATGTCTCTCTGGTGCCTAATTCCCTTAGTGTGATAAAAACTTTCAACTATTAAGCACAAACATGCTACATGTGTCAGAGTCTCCTTTTCCCTAACTAAATACTAAAGTTTTCATGTGTGTGACTGCATCAGGAGTTACATTCATTCAAGGGACAGAGGTACTTGAGATACCTTCTCACAAAATGCTGCCCAAGGAACTAAAAAATCTGGCTTTGTTGATACCAGTGATCTCTTTATCAACCAACAATCAATGTGCCATCCTCAGCCAAAATCAGCATAGTTTAAAAATCTTTTAACCGGGCGCCTGGGTGGCTCAGTTGGTTAAGCGACTGCCTTCGGTTCAGGTCATGGTCCCGGAGTCCTGGGATCGAGTCCCACATCGGGCTCCCGGCTCAGCGGGGAGCCTGCTTCTCCCTCTGACCCTCTCCCCTCTCA